AGCAAAGGCAACGAGGGAAGGAGTAGCAGTGGCAGTGAGGTGAAGACCGAGGGTGGAAGTGCCCTTCAAATAGCGAAATAAACGGTTAACATGCTGCCAATGAAGAGTCGTCGGGGCATGCATGAACTGGGATAGCTTGTTGACGGCGAAAGCGATGTCAGGCCGAGTGCAGAGCAAGTATTCGAGACTGCCGAGAGCTTGTTTATACAAGGTGACATCCGCTGGTGGTGAGCCATCATTAAGGAGTAGTTTGGCAGTGGAGGCGAGAGGAGTCGGGGCAGGATGGGAGTCGGACATGCCAAACCGAGCAAGAAGATCGAGCACATACTTGTGCTGGGAGAGAAGATAGCCATTGTCAGAGGGTAAAACTTCAATGCCAAGGAAGTAGCTGACCGGACCGTGGCACTTGAGAGAGAAACGGGCCGCAAGACGGGCCTGGAAGCTGGAAATGGCGGCGGCATTATTCCCTGTTAATAATAGATCATCAACATAAACCATGAAGTAGATAGTGTCAGCACCCTTGTGATAAATGAACAGGGAGGCATCAGACTGAGACTTCAGAAAGCCTTCTTGCTCGAGAAAGCCAGAGAGCTCCAGGTACCAGGACCGAGGTGCTTGGCGAAGACCGTAGATCGGCCGATGGAGCTGACAGACATGATCAGGACGAGCCGGGTCGAGGAAACCAGTCGGCTGGGCCATGTAGACTGATTCCTGAAGAGAGCCTTGCAAAAAGGCATTGTTGACGTCGTATTGGAAAATGGGCCAGCAGTGAGATAATGCGATGGAGAAGACGGTGCGGAAGGTGACGGGCTTGAGAACCGGGCTGTAGGTGTCATGGAAGTCGACACCGGGGCGTTGAGTAAAGCCCTTCGCGACCAGCCAGGCTTTGAACCGATCGACGGACCCATCGGGGCGACGTTTAATGCGGAACACCCAACGACAATTGATGATGTGCTGGTGAAGTGGACGACGTACAAGAGACCAGGAACGGTTGGAGAGCAAAGCAGCATACTCAGCTCGCATAGCAGCACGCCAACGGGGATCCGCAAGAGCCTGCCGGACCGACGTGGGCTCAACCTCAAGGGGAGCCACCTGCATAGAAAAAAGCTTTTTGGGGCAAAAAATACCCCGTTGACTGCGCGTAACAGGCCGGTGAGAGTGCTTCGCGGGCGGCGGCGGTGGGCGCTGATTTTGATGTGAGGACGTAGCACCTGGGGACGCTGGCGGGGAGGAGGGGCGTCTCGGAGCGGACGACGGCGGAGGCACAGGAGGATCGGCAGTGGAGGGAAGGGAAGGGGAAAGGGAATATTGGGTAATAGGTGGAGTGGTGATAGCGACCCAATTTGGGGAAGTGAATGGTGGGGAAGGGGATTCGTCGGGGATACCAGGAAGGAGGGATTCGTCAAATTGGACGTGACGAGAGGTATATAGGCGATTGGTAAGGGGCTCATAGCATAGGTAGGCACTTTGATTAGGAGAATAACCAAGAAAGATACAACGACGTGAGCGAGGGGAAAGTTTGTGAGGTGAGTAAGGGCGTAACCATGGATAGCAAACACAGCCTAACACACGAAGTTTCAAGTAGTTGGGATGCTCATTGAATAAGGAATGAAAGGGAGTAGCACCATGCAACGATGTAGATGGCAGCCGATTGATTAAGTAAACGGCAGTGCGGAATGCATAAGACCAAAATGAGAGAGGTAGGTGGGCAGTATGAAGAAGAGCGAGGCCAGTTTCAACAACATGACGGTGTTTTCGTTCGGTGAGGCCGTTGTGTTCAGGAGTATGGGGTGGGGTTAAAAGATGGGTAATACCATTGGTTTGAAAGAACGAACGCAATTTTTGGAATTCACCACCACCATCACTATAAACACGACGGATGGTAGTGTGAAAATAGTTCTCAATCATGGATTTGAATGTGGTGAAAGTATGATGCACATCAGATTTTCGACAAAGTGGATAAAGCCATGTGTATCGAGAAAAGTGATCAACAATGACTAAATAATACGAAAAATTGTCATGGGACACAATAGGAGAAGGTCCCCAAACATCCATAAACAACAAATCAAATGGCCGAGAGCTAGTGAGACTGGAAACGGAGAAAGGCAGTTTATGACTTCTATAGAGAGAACAAGACTCGCAAGACACACATGAAGAAACAGAGGTAACAGGAAGTGAGTGAGTACGAAGCATTCGAGAGAGAAGTTTAAGATGGGGATGGCCCAACCAGTTATGCCAGACAGCCGACGACTGGTTCTTGACAGAGCTTAAAGCCAGTCGAACAGGTTGATGTGGAACCGGCAGCTCGTAGACGTCCCCCCCCCTATTCTGGCCGCGCAGCAGGTGCGCCCCCTTGGCTAGATTCTTCACAACAAAAAATTCAGAAAAGAATTCCACAGAGACCGGATTAGATTTACACAGCTGAGCAACAGACAATAATCGACGCTTGATAGCAGGAACACATAGCACATCATGAAGAGATAAGGACTGCATGGACGTGGATAAAGAAGAGTTGCCAATGAGTGATATGCAGACCTGACCTATCACCAATAAGAACCTCATCTGGCCCGGCGTAGCCAGTGTATAAATTGAGCAGGCCCAGGTCAGGAGTCATGTGATTTGTGGCAGCAGAATCAACCAACCAACCGGGTGCAGCTGACGAGGAGGAGACGGTGTGATGGGCTTGAGGACGGCCATGAAGACGATAACACTCCTTGGCTGTGTGGCCTGGTTTGTCGCAATACTGGCAGGAGACTTGGGGTCGGCCGAGGAGAGAATGCCCAGACTGGCCGCCATTGTGATGAGACGGTGGGCGAGAGGGAGAGGGACCCCTGGGCGACCGCGGGCTGGAGTCACGGCGTCCGGACCCGTCATAGCCATAGGAGGAGCCAGAAAATGGAGGCCCACGACGAGAGCCACTGGAGGAACGAGACAAGTGGCCAGGGTATGAGGAGCGCCCGCGTGCAGAGGAGAAGGCAGTAGTCGGGGCCGACGAGGAAGATAGACGAACAGCAGCAAGATCAGCCTCGAAATCAACGAGGCGATCGTGAAGATCCTCAATGGCGATTGGTGAATCACGCGCACGGATGGCGGCTGCAAGCTGACCATAGTCGTCGTGGAGACCACGAAGAATGTGAAGAATTAAATCCTCGTCAGAGATAGGATCGTTGATGAGATCCCATTCAGCTGCCGTCGTGTGCTGAGCCTGGAGATACACAGCAACAGGGCGATTGCCTTGGCGTTCACGCCCTAGCTTCTCCTTGAGGCTTATAACCCGCTGACGAGATTGACTTGCGAACATACGTTCGAGAATCGTCCAGGCTTGGCGAGAAGATGCTGCGGCAGAGACATACGGGGAGACTCCAGGAGACACAGAGGCCAATATAGAGTGAAGGATGAGCTGATCTTGGCAGTACCAGCGGCGACGAACAGCGGCATCAGCAGTGGCAGCCGGTTCAGGATGTGTACCATCTAAGAATTTGAGGAGATCAAGGCCGCGCATTAGAGTAGTGAGTTGGGCGCGCCAAGTAGGGAAGTTCTCGCCTGTGAGCTTGGTCGACAGCTGGGATGCAGGATTGAGAGTGATGATGGTATTAGCATCGTCGAGATTGATGACAGTCTCACCAGAATGGGAAGCCATGGTGGCGCAGTAGAGAAAGAGAAGAAAGAAAAGAGGCCGATATGATTTTGTTAGGGTTAAGGAGATCAGAACGGTAGCTCTGATACCATGTAATTGATGGAATAATGTGATTGTACTCAATTAGGAGAGTGGTTTAAATACACTCTCTGGAACAGAACGTGGCTACAAAGAGGGAACTACCCAGCCACTAACCAACGGAAATATAATTAATAAAATACAATTAACTTGATGAAGAAGATTCCTTATCATACAGTAGCATGTTCTGACAGAGGGTGGGGTTGGAGGGTTTATTTGGAGGAATAAGGTGTGTACGAGCCTACGAGGGGGGTTCGTCGGTTGTGCTATGATCGGCCGGCGTTGAAGGGATGAATTTCAGTGTAAGATTTTCTTTTGGCAGGGAAAAAAAGTTAAAAATGAATTTCAGTATAAGCAGGGGTAATTGGGTAATTGAACACCCCATTTAACGGTTAGTAAACATATTTTTGGATGGAAGGTTATTTTTTGTTAAGTTTCGATATTAAAAGGGTATGTTTGTACAAAAATATTATACGAGGATACGTTTGTTAATTTGTAATAATAGAGGGTATAAAATGCTATTAACTCTATTATTTTTTATAGGAAATTATATATACTATTATTGACACTTGGATTGGATGATATTGGTGTGGATAATGACGTCCGCAATGGGCTGGATCACTTGAGAAAGTGGACGGACCATTAACAATCCATCATAAAACAAAGCCCGTGGGTCAGATCCCCAGACGAAGACGAACATCACCGGCCCAATCCCGAAAAAACGCCAAGAAAGTCAAGCTAAGCTCAGCCGACAGCCGGACTTTCCTCGTCGCTTCCTTTCCGTTCCTTCCTCCACCGTTCCGTTATCAAATTCACGACTCAGCCTCAGTTCGTTACCGCCGCTCCCCGTTTCCCAAGCCAACGCCACGTCAACCCATAATTCCCCGACCACGATCCGATACACAGAGCTCACAGAAGCCACTTGGTGCGACCGTCCCCTCACCCAATCACGTTGCGACACGCAACCCAGCACTCCGCTTCGTTCGGGGTCCGTACCAATCCCGTAGCTCCATTGGTTTCTCCGGGAAGCGATACTACGCGCCCCCGAATCTAGATTCGGCAAAAATTCCTTCTGCCTTTGGCTCGAATACGACGGCCGGAGCAACCTCTCTCTCTCAACACCGTTTACTTCCTTCTCGAGGAAGCTACTCCTCAACACCGTAATTCTCATCCATTCGCATCTGTCGGCTATCTTCTCGGACGTTTCTTCTTGGTGTGTATTCTTCTGGCTTATCCACCTTTTAGATTCAGTTCGCGTAGATCTTTTTTCCCGTTTTCTGATTGTTCGGATTTCGTTAATGGAGTCTCGCGTTTCCGCTTCATAGTGTCTTGGATTCGGTTTTCGTTTTCTTTTTCACTCGGTTTGTTCCGTTTCTCTGGTTCGCTTCAAAGCGTTACTAAGTTTAGAGCACGGGAATGTAACTGAATCAGTGCCTATGGCGGATGTAGCGGTAGATTATGATTTTTGAGCTATGGTGAGTGCGGTGGCTGGCTGGAAATTGAAATTTCGCTGAGTGAGACTCTGATATGTAAATTATGAACTTGAAGGTATTTGGGAATTTTCTGTTATGGCTACTGTTCGAGTCAGATTTGAATTCTGAATGATTATGGGAGTTTGTTGGGATTCGTCGCCGTCCGACGACTTTTTGTTGCCTTCTAATGGAACAGTGTTCTGTGAGATTGCGATCCAGAGAAAGAGCGTTATAGACTTATAGGGGTCTGGTTTGAAGCTAATAATCTCTAGCTGATCATAATTGAGTTGAAGGAGTTTCCATTTGGGAACATTTTTTTTTCTATCAGATTCCGCCCAAGCATGGATTTTCTTACAAGCTGCTCTTTCCATTTTTGCAATTGGCTTTCTTTTCTCGATGATTTCCTCCGAACTATGAGATATTTAGGCTCTAACTTACTATAACATGTTGTGCAGCTGTAGTTAGTCAAAACAAAGCGGTTCCTCCCTCCACAGGGGACTGGAAATGGTGGAACCTTGCAAGCCTGTCAAAAGCAGCCATGGGCTAAAACATCGTCCCCTGACTTCTCTTAGGCTAGTGAGGGGGTTGATATGTTTAGTAGTTTACCTGTCGACTGCGTTCACGTTCCTAGTCTACTTTGGGCCTGTTGCAGCAGTATTGCCGAGGCTTGTAAGCGTGCACGGTTCGAGAAAAGTAACGTCCTTCTTGTTCTCCCTCTGGTTAGCATTGTGGCCGTTCTTGTTTGAAAAGATAAATGGAACAAGAGTTGTATTTTCTGGGGATGTGGTGCCCGATAAAGAGCGAGTTTTGGTACTAGCAAATCATAGGACCGAGGTTGATTGGATGTATCTGTGGAATCTTGCATTGAGGAAAGGATGCCTAGGGTATATAAAGTATGTTCTGAAGAGTAGTTTGATGAAGCTGCCAATATTTGGTTGGGGGTTTCATATCTTGGAGTTCATATCAGTGGAGAGGAAGTGGGAAGCTGATGAGCCTGTGATGAGAAAAATGCTATCGACGTTTAAGGATCCTCGAGATCCTTTGTGGCTTGCTCTTTTCCCTGAAGGAACAGATTTCACGTACTGCCTTATTTCCTTCATCCCTGTGAATATAAACTTCCTATTCATGATATGATCTGAAATTTGTGCATCCCTTACTCCCTGTGAATATCAACCTCCTTTTCATGATATGGTCTGAAATTTGTGCAATTGAATCTAGAGTAGTATTTATAGTTAACTACGATACTCCATCACTGACTATTTTTTTTGTTTGCTTATGTTGTCATTCAGTGAAGAGAAATGCCAGAAGAGTCAAAAGTATGCCTCTGAAGTTGGGCTTCCTATATTGACAAACGTCCTTCTGCCTAAAACAAAGGGGTTTTATGTTTGCTTGGAAGTTCTGCAGAACTCCTTGGATGCAGGTAAATAGCCAATCAACCAACTCCTGTAAAACACAGCTGCATCTTGAGCACAAAGTTTGAAAAATAGAACTAAGGTTTCAGTTTTCTTACCTTCTGAGGGAATAACGTTCCTCATTAAGCAACCTATATCTCAGCATGATCCCTTTCGATACATAGTCTGTGAAATGTTGTCTTCTGGCAAATATATCAAACAATTATCTCTTGTGATTGCAGTTTACGATTTGACTATTGCATACAAGCATCAATGTCCTACTTTTTTGGACAATGCGTTTGGGGTGGATCCTTCAGAAGTTCACATTCATGTTCGGCGCATCCCAATGGAGAATATCCCGACAACTGAAGACGAGGCTTCTGCTTGGCTAGTCGAGACATTCAAACTGAAGGATCAGTTGCTTTCAGATTTCCAAACTGAGGGACATTTCCCAGGCGAAGGAACCGAAAAAGAGCTTTCTACTTTGAAATGCTTGGTGAATTTTTTAGTAGTAATATCTTTGACTGCAATGTTTACTTATCTTACATTCTTTCGGTCGATTTGGTTCAAGGCTTATGTAAGTCTATCTTGTGCATATCTAGCTTCAGCTACTTATTTGAATTTTCGTCCAACCCCAATCTTCGATTCTGTTCAAACAATGTTTACTGCCAAAAGAAAGAAAGAAGTGAAATGATCAATATCATAGGCATAGTGACAAAGATTGAAAGGTTCTTGTGTGATCTGGAAAAATGGGTCTTAAGTTTCGCCCTGGATGTTTCCTTTTCTCCTGCTGAATATATCAATTTGGGAGAAATACCTCTTGGTTGCATTCATTCCATGCATACTGGCCACTGTTCAGAGTGTAGCACATGATCCTTGTTAGTTTGACGAAATATTGAACCAGAATGCTTTGAGTATATTATAGATGCAATCACTGACCCATAAGTCTCAATGTGAAACTGATTGGTCCAAAATTATCTATGCACAAGTCCGTAGCCAATATTTGTGCAGGAGAGAAGTGCATCAGAGGAGCCAAACCCTGAGCATTGAAGCAGAGGACTAACAAGGGATGGTTTCAGCGTTGAAATCACCATTCCTACAGGCTCCAGGTTCGTCGTCATTATGACTCGTAAGTAAATTTACTAGGCACTTCTGGTTTTTGGATTCAATGAATGCTAAAGTAGAATGCCTAAAATGTGTCTCCATCTTGCATAGCTGCTTCCCTATTATCATTTTGATCCTTTGTCTTTACTTTCTGAGTCCCTACAAGTTGGGATGATGTCGACAAGGGGACATGGATAAGAACAGTTGGAACAGATAAGGAATTTGTAGTGTGACTTTTCAGGTGTTAGAAAACAGAAGTTGATTGATTTTGTCAAAAGAGAAGGTAAAAAGAACAAAGTAGTTAGTTGGCTCTTTTTTGAGGGTGTAGAAAATCAAAGCCAAGTACCCAAATTAAAGAGAAGAAAAATGGAACGGGAGGTGAGGTAGTTAGTTGGCTCTTTTTTTTAGGGTATAGAAAATCGATGGCAAGTACCCAAATTACTAAAATTGTCGGGCCTTTTCCAGTTTCTTTCATTTTCCAATTTGTCTATCTCTGGCTTTTGCGTGTATTAGGTTTCCAGAATTCTTTGATTGTCTTTTTGTTATGCCTAGGTAGTGTGCTAGAACCGGATGAATCAAGCTAGAAAATGCTGCTGGCGTGTGTGGCAGGTCCATTTCCTTTGTCGTTCTGGTCTTATGCCTGTTCTTCACTGTTGTTCTGTTTATGTTATGATTGATAATCAACCCTTGTGATCGTTGGACTGAGCGATCGGGGGAGCTCAGTGGCCAATCTCTGATCTAATCTAATGGATGGTTGAATCAGAATTTTATGGAAGATCCAGATCTCACGAGTGTACAGGCAAGCTTTTCCATTATCTTCTGCTGATAATGACGTTTGGTTGATCTAAGAGCATATGATTAACTGAGCATATTGTTTTGGAGAGATTAATAAAAAGACTGAATTGGTTGAAGGCAGAGCAGAACACGTGCTTTGTTGAACCATGTTTGGGAAGTGTGTGAGTAAGGGTTGGGTTGGGAGCTGGGGTGTAACACCAAAATTCCAAGCAAACCCAAAACGTGTGTTGGTATGGGTGTACACATTGCCCTTTTTCAAATTGATGTCAAGTCTCAACTAATTAGGGTATACCGGCCCAAGTAAGTATTAAAATAGAAAAGTTAATTAAAGTACAGGAGAAATGCAAGATTCATAAGGAATAATTTATCTTGATTCAAGAAACACGTTTTGATAAGAAACGGGGAAGTTTTTGTAAGAGATGTAAAGTTAGACGTGTCTAGTGTAAAACAATACATATATGGGTGAATAAGTCGCCATGATGGGTCCTAAAAGCAAAATCGTGTAGGAGTAGATCAAAAGTGGACAATATTTTGGTGAAAAAGAGGTAGAGATGTTTAAGTGCTATCTGAGCCTCACAGCGTCCATCTTGATTGATTGTGGGGCAAACCTCAATTAACGAGGACGTTGAGTTCCAAAAATCTCTGGATGTAAACATGCTTAGTGTGAGCAGTGTAAAAATAGGTGACCTCCAAAAAAGTCACCATGATATGCTCAAAATAAATTCCGTGAAGAGTAAATCTAAAACGAACAATAGGGTGATGAGAAAAGATAGAGATGTTAAATAAGTGGTGTTTTCTAGTGGGAAAAAAGAGAGAAGAAGAAGAAAATTGGTGCTTACCATGCATGTTAGGGGTGGCTATACGGTCCGGTCCGGTTAAATTGGCCCAAATTGATTCGGTCCCGTCCGGTCTTTTTGAAAATATAAGGACCGAAGATTGGATTGGATACAGTCCGGTCTTGATCCGGTCCGGTTTTGATCCGGTCCGGTCCCGATTCGTCTTGATTTTACATTGAGATTGTGGGATTTGAGTGGCCTAAAGCCTTAAAGGGTGAGCAGTTGGTTAAGTTTTGTACTAAGTGCAAAGGTTTGTGACAGTTTATGCAAATTACCCTTAAGTTTTGGGTGTTGAGCTCTTTTATCCGGTCTTTATCCGGTTTTTTTACCTCAAATCTAAGCCCAAAGATTGGATTGGATTGTTTACTATCCGGTCTCGGTCCGGGTTATACGGTCCGGTTTCCGGTTTTTAATCCGGTCCCGGTCCAAATAGCCACCCCTAATGCATGTGCCAATAAGGCAATAATAATCCCTCCTTCAATCCTCCCCAAACTTTGGGTGACCTAAAAAAGGACAATAGAAAAGGTAACCATCTTTCCAAACCAAATGCCAAAAGAGTGACACTTCCACGCCCATTAGAAAACTAGTACCGCCTCCACCCACATTTGCTTCCAATCTTTATAGCAACATTCTTGCTTCCGCAAGCCAAAGAAACCACACCCCTTTCTTCCCCTCCCCCGTCTTCTTGTTAATACCTCTCACGAAAAAGAAACCCACCAAATATTAATTCCTATAACATCCACACAGTAACACACAATAACATAGACGTTATATGACACTCCATATTCACATTAGGGTGGCTTCACTAGTAAGATATTTGGGTTGATACCGTGCATTTTCTGATTTAATTCTTACAACCTTTTATTCCAAGGAAAAAAAATGCATTTGTAGTTATCAATCAGGCTATTATCTTGAGTCCTTGCTCCGTTTAGTTTCTCAGGAGTTTGTGGTAATTGAGATAGTCTCTTTTTTCTTTTGTAAGAACCGAAATAGTCTTAAACGTATGTGTCAAGATAATTTATTATTAAAACTTTATTATTATTTGAATTTGGACAAATAAATGAAAATCTCAAATGGTGACTGAGAAAATGGTGACCCCAAATTAGTGGCAAGGAAAAAATGACATTCTTCCAACAAATTAACTTGTAAGAAGGGAGTCCCAAACTCCCAATCCAAGTAGTATAAATTCCCAAACCCTCCCAAATTACAACTTCCCAACTTCCACGATCCAATCTTAACTTCCCCACTCTCTCATTCTTCCCACGACCAATTAACCACCCCTCCCCACTAATCTCCTTTATAAATCAACCATCTCAAAAGCTCATCAACTCCTCCTCACTCAAAACCCAGGAAGAAAGAAACCTCAACAACAATGGCGGCGTCGGCTCCCTCACTCTCCTTCCTCTTCCTCCTCCTAACTCTCTTCCAAGGTACCTCATTTCTCCCCCAAGTTACTTCCTTTACTTCACCCCTGTAATCCACGCCACTTAATCAATAAAACCCACTTCTTCAAATTCAATTTCCTTTTTTTTTTGTTGCAGGAATCAGCATTGCCAATGCCACCGTCTTCACTCTCCTCAACCAATGCGGATACACAATCTGGCCAGGAACCCTCTCCGGCAACGGCGCCGCCGCCCTCGGCGACGGCGGCTTCTCCCTCTCCCCGGGCGCCTCCGTCCAGTTCCAAGCCCCACCCGGGTGGTCGGGCCGGTTCTGGACCCGAACCGGCTGCAACTTCGACGAATCCGGCAACGGCAGGTGCCTCACCGGCGACTGCGGCGGCACCCTGAAGTGCGCCGGCGGCGGGACGCCGCCGGTCTCCCTCGCGGAGTTCACCGTCGCGGCGGGCCCCGGCGAGAAGGACTTCTACGACGTGAGCCTCGTCGACGGGTACAACGTCGGGGTCGGGGTGAAACCGGTCGGATCCGGGTCGGGCGACTGCCAGTACGCGGGTTGCGTGACGGATCTCAACGCCAAGTGCCCGCCGGAGCTCCGGGTCACGGACCCGGGTACGGGCAATGTGGTCGCGTGCAAGAGCGCGTGCGCTGCGTTCGACGCGCCGGAGTTCTGCTGCACGGGGGACCACGCGACGCCGCAGACGTGCTCGCCGTCGCAGTACTCGGTGTTGTTTAAGGATGCCTGCCCGACGGCGTATAGCTACGCCTACGACGATGCGTCCAGCACGTGCACTTGTTCCGGGTCGGACTACTTGATCACGTTCTGCCCGACCGGGTCATGATCCGGTTGGTTGGTTGGGTGGCGGGTCGCCGATTCCGTCGTTATAGCTTGTAATCGCAAACTATTATCTATTAACTTTTTTTGGGGTTGTTTGGTAGATTTGGATTGGAAAGAGTGAGTTGCCTTCATTAATTATTTTATGATTATTGCTTATTTGCTATGAATATTTTTCATATTCTAATACAATATTGACTTTTTGAGTTTTTTTGCTACTTGAAAGTGTGTTTGGTACAATTTTGTCCATTTTAGGTTCGAGAGAATTTGTTTGGCAAGAATGAAAGAATGGAAAATTATAACTAGTGCCAACAGTTTTTTATTCACTACTATACCAACTCAAGTTGTGATGGTAACGTTCCCTAAAAAAAAAAAGTTGTGATGGTAAACAGTTTAATTTACGGACCATAAATTTTATGTTTTTATAAATCGGTTTAGTTTATTTTATCAAATTGCGGGTACGGGTAACACCCCTTCTAGTTAAGTAGGATTTACATGAGTAATCCAGCACCTCATGTTGTCCTATCTCATTCAATAAATATAATCCTATGTGTAACATACTACACAATTAAAAAAAAAAATAGCTTCGTAGAACCCATAAATGCCAGATTCATCAAAGCAAGAAACCTCAATCAGTAGGGACAAGCACCTCAACGCAGTGACAGGCTCAGAAATTTTACATAAGGATGTCCTCTTTTAAAAAATAAATTAAATATAAATAATTCTAAGATAATTAATAAAAATAAATAATAATTTAATAAGAAATACCTTACTCATACAGCTTACAAAAAATTCACAATGTGGTTTCATATTAAAAAATGATTGTAGAACACATTTGGGGTCTACGCCGTTCAAAAAAATTGTCTCTGTATATCATATTAGACAATCATTCACGAACTGATCACATATTTGATTTCTAAACTTGTTCTTGATATAATCGAAAGCTTAAATTTGTTTAATTGTTAGATTTTGAAAATAATTAGTGATAGAGAATGACATTGCAGTATTGTACTATTACACAGTGTTTAAAATCGAATAATATATAAGTTGTAGCCTAATGGAAATTATGTTTATTAATAATAAAAGTGTTCTAGGTTTGAATTACCCAAACTACCACTCATATTCTCATACTCAAACTAAAAGATGAGAGTAGGATAATCACTTTTTTAAATTTAGGGTTGTCCCCGACTATCAATTATAATTTTTTTGTCAATACGTAAATTACCATTGGGGGTTGGATAATCTTTTTCCCAAAATTTAGGGGTGTCCCGGGACACCCCCAAACACCCGTGGGTCCGCCCCTTCCTCAACGTCCTTGTGTATCTCATAAACCAACATAGATACAAATAGGACTAATAGATGGTTATCCTATTAACGGTGTAACTGATAACCGAACCGAAACCAAGGCTTAACGGTTACACCGTAACCGATTAAATGATAAATGATAAGTTCTTGCCTTCTTGGTAGTCAAATTTAACTAACAACTAACCGATAGTAAAACGGTTAATAACTGACGATTAAACGGTCTACCGACTGATCGACTACGATCATCCTCATAGTTAGAGCCAAAAAGAATAGACCTCCATGAGCTGTAAACATCGGCCAAAAATAATGGGGTGTTTGAAGGCTTACAAGCCCCCTTGCATATCTTAGTTGTAATAGTACTCAAATGAGAATAATTTAAAGGAAAATTTTTAGAAGGAACAATAGAAAGTCAGACTTGTGCACAGTTGCTCGACAACAATCAGTAACATTAACCTTCCATGCAGTGGCGGATCCAGAAATTCTACATAGGGGTGTCCTCTCTTAAAAATTAAAATAAATTAAAAATTAAAATTAAATTAAATAATTATTAAAATTAAACTAAATAATTATTAAATATAAAAGTTACATTAAAAGTTCATACATATTTCGTAAAATGGTAAAATACATCCGGTGTCTATATTGCTCAACAAATATCTCTATACATATCTTATTAGACAAGGGTATCTGGTAATTGGGTTCAATAGTTAAGTTTTGACAAATAAGAATAACATTTTACTATTATATTTGGATCTAAAACAAAATAACAAATGAGTTGTAGTGTAATTGAAATAGGTTTACT